ACTCAACCAGCTATCTGACTGACAAATGTAGGCTTTTTATAAAAGTGGTGTTTTCTCTTTAAATCAGCAGTTTTATAAAGACAAATGAAAGGAGGGGGACTCTGTTAACTCCCTAAAGTACTTTAGTGAGTTTTAAAAGCTCTTTGTTTTTAGTTTTTACCTAATCCCAGAAGATTGGAAGTTAGCAAATGTTGTGCCCATTCACAGGAAAGGTAATAGGGAGGAGTCGGGCAACTATAGGACAGTAAGCCTTACTTCAGTAGTGGGGAAAGTAATGGAAACCATGTTAAACGATAGGATTGTTGAACATCTAAAATCACATGGATTTCAAGTTCAGAGACAACATGGGTTTACTTCAGGGAGATCATGCCAAACTAATCTTATTGATTTTTTTGACTGGGTAACTAAAATAATAGATCAGGGTGGTGCAGTAGACATTGCTTACCTAGATTTCAGTAAGGCTTCTGACACTGTTGCACATAGAAGCCTTATCAAAAATTGCAATCTTTAATTTTGCATTCCAATATTGTTGAATGGGTAAGGCAGTGGCTGAGTGACAGGCAACAGAGGTTTGTAGTCATTGGAGTATATTTGAAGCTTGGGCTTGTCACCAGTGGGGTACCTCAGGGATCTGTACTTGGACCCATTCTCTTTAATATTTTTATTAGTGATATTGCAGAAGGTCTTGATGGTAAGGTATGTCCTGTTGCTGATGATACTAAGATATGTAATAGGGTTGATGTTCCAGGAGGGATAAGCCAAATGGCAAATGATTTAGATAAACTAGAAAAATGGTCAGACTTGTGGCAACTGACATTTAATGTGGATAAGAGCAAGATAATGCATCTTGGATGTAAAAACCCAAGGGCAGAGTACGGAATATTTGATAGAGTCCTAACCTCAACATTTGAGGAAAGGGATTTAGGGGTGATTATTTCTGATGACTTAAAGGTAGGCAGACAATGTAATAGAGCAGCAGGAAATGCTAGCAGAATGCTTGGTTGTATAGGGAGAGGTATTAGCAGTAGAAAGAGGGAAGTGCTCATGCCATTGTACAGAACACTGGTGAGACCTCACTTGGAGTATTGTACGCTGTACTGGAGACCGTATCTTCAGAAGGATATTGATACTTTAGAGATAGTTCAGAGAAGGGCTACTAAACTGGTTCATGGATTGCAGGATAAAACTTACCAGGATCTTAACATGTATAGCTTGGAGGAAAGACGAGACAGGGGGGATATGATAGAAACATTTAAATGCATAAAGGGAATCAACACAGTTAAGGAGGAGACCATATTTAAAGGAAGAAAAACTACCACAATAAGAGGACATAGTCTTAAATTAGAGGGGCAAAGGTTTAAAAATAATATCAGGAAGTATTACTTTACTGAGAGGGTAGTGGATGCATGGAATAGCCTTCAAGCTAAAGTGGTAGAGGTTAACACAGTAAAGGAGTTTAAGCATGCGTCGGATAGGCATAAGGCTATCCTAACTATAAGATAAGGCCAGAGACTAATGAAAGTATTTAGAAAATTGGGCAGACTAGATGGGCCGAATGGTTCTTATCTGCCGTCACATTCTAAATTTCTATAAATGTACAGGAATTACGTTGAAATTCCTTTTTACCTAATCTGAGTAAAGTGGATGCTATCAGCAAATTACTGCATAACCCTTGTTCTAGCTAAGGAAACAAATTTGGATTCCTAATGCTATAGTACTGTAGTCTACAAGTGTCCTAGCCTACAGTTATTTCCAATAAACCAACTACCATAAAAATAATTTATGAATAAAAAAAAAAGGTTTTACTTACCTTTCCTCCTTCGGTGAGACTCCTTCGGTGCTGCTGCTCCATCTCCCACAGCAGCAACATCCCTCTCTAGCCAATAGTCCATAAAGGTGGTTTCAGAACAAATGTGCATGCACAGCAACTACATTCAAATTTTGAATTCAACACTTTCCAATGTGAGGCATTTGGTCAAATGACTGACTTTTGCTCTGTTGTTAGAGAAGCAGTGTGTTTAATGCCCATGAGGAAGACGGCCACTAGACATGGTTTTAATCCTGCAATATAAAAACTGCAGTTTATACACCACCACATTGTTTTATATTGCAGGGTTACACCTACATGGCCACTGCACCCAGATAACTCGATTGAGATGGGTCTTATAACGTGGAATTATGTATTACAACAATAGTTGACTTCAGCTGTTTTAAAACTGCTACTATTTTCTGCTGAAACCTTCACAAGACAAACAGAAAAAAAAAACTACTTAAATACAAAATTGTATTCCTAACACTATAGTGCTTTCTGTTTGCACAGGCCCTGCTCTGGCACATAATTTGTTAAGCATTGGATTGGTTGAGATCATCAATTCTGCTGATCTCAGCCAAGGAGGCGGATCGGGGGCAAAGCAAGTGCTGGAGACCTGCGCAACACTGGAGTAAAGGAAAGAGTTAAAGGACCACTCTAGGCACCCAGACCACTTCAGCTTAATGAAGTGGTCTGGGTGCCAGGTCCAGCTAGGCTTAACCCATTCTTTTATAAACATAGCAGTTTCAGAGAAACTGCTATGTTTATGAATGGGTTAAGCCTTCCCCCAAATCCTCTAGTGGCTGTCTCATTGACAGCCGCTAGAGGCGCTTGCATGATTCTCACTGTGAAAATCACAGTGAGAGCACGCAAGCGTCCATAGGAAAGCATTGATAATGCTTTCCGAACTGAATGCGTGCGCAGCTCTTGCGCGCGTGCGCATTCAGCCGGGGGAGGACGGAGGAGGATCGGAGGCGGAGAGCTCCCCAGCACTGGAAAAAGGTAAGTTTTTACCCCTTTCCCCCTTCCAGTGCCGGGCAGGAGGGGGACCCTGAGGGTGGGGGCACCCTCAGGGCACTATAGTGCCAGGAAAACGAGTATGTTTTCCTGGCACTATAGTGGTCCTTTAACCTTATTTAAGCAGGGGGCCAAAGGGGGACCCGGTACCTAAATAGTGTTTTTAACACTATAGGGTCAGGAATGCACATCTGTATTCTTGACCTTATAGTGTTCCTTTAATATACAGGTACCAGCTGGGCAGCCTCAGATATTGCCTATGCCGGTAATCCTAGTCTCTCTCATCCTGGCTGGCAACCCGAGTCTCTCTCATCCTGTTAACCTCTATCTGTGTCTCTCTAACCCTGTTAACCCACATATGGGTATCTCTCATCCTGTTAATCCCCATCTGTCTCTCTGTCTCATCCTGTTAACCCCCATATGTGTTTCTTTCATCCTGTTAACCCTCATCTGTCTCTATCTCCTCCTGTTAGGCCCCATCAGTCTCTCTCCATCTCATTATGTTAACCCCCATATGTGTATCCTTTTCAACTCCAACTTGTGCCCCCCATCAGTTATCTAATCTGCAGACTGATTAAAGGCTGGGAATTTAGCTGCTGTCTGAACTTGCTGCATGAGTAGTGGTCAGAGCTGCTTCCCTGCGGATTCAGAGAGTAGAGAGAGGAAGGGAGATAAAGTTCTTATCCCTGCCTATCTCAACACCGGTATTGCAGTGTCATTTCCATTTAAAAAAAATACAGCCTTTTGTATGGCTGGTATCTTAGTCTTAGCAATACCAGCACTGGCCAGGCAGCTTCAAATACCGGCCAGGTGGCAACCATACACATATGTACTTTGGCACATGACCATCTTTGCTCCCCCCCGCTTCTAAGAAGACTCTATCCTACACCCTCCTATTCTAAGAAAACCCTGCCTAGTAATGCTCCCTAGATAAACTTAGGGTCAATGATGTGTTGCATGCTTATTTCATGCTGTATGCATGAGCTGTTCGTGATGTTAGTTAATTGAGGTCAATATTTGATTGGTACTTAATGATACTCTCCTTAGAATGCCTTAAAAGCTGTGTTCTGTTTGGAAAACATTAGACATTTTCTGAATCAGACTACTTTGTATGTTCTGTCCTCATGTGTCTCTGAGATCTCTGGTCGTGGCACAGTCTGGATAGAACTATACTTTAAGTCCATGGCAGTGTGGGGTCTGGTTATCACCTAGAAGTATGTTCCAACAATCTTGGGGGCTGAGTCCGAGATTTTGAGTAATCCACTGATGAGTGCACAACTGTTTTATTTTTGTGTGCCACACGAGACTGAAATACCCAAATAATGAACACTGGTTGGAACAAAGAGACTCTGTCACCACTGATGGCAGATGCACTGTTGATGCATTCTCATGTTGGCTTCTCGAGTGTTATAGAAAAGCAGAAGGCTTTCCATTGTTTTAGGAAAAGCAGATTAAGTATCTTCTATCTTAAACTATACCCACCCACAAATTGTATAAAATTGTATATTATTAAGAGTTGTTTAAAGTATAAGGCTGTTTTTAACTTGATTTTTTAAAATTTTCAACTGGTTACTCACACGCCGTTTGCTAACTTTGCTTACAGGATGGGACAAAAAAAGGTGTGGGAAACCCCACAATAATGGCATTACAGAACTGCTGATTAATTTAAAGTCTGTTTGAGGTGATGAGAGTGAAAATCCTTTATATGTCTCAGTACACAAGCTGCACAGCTGCACAGTGTGTGGAATGTAAGTAACTCTTATTTATATAAGAGCAGAGAGATACAGGCAGCGGTGGTAAATTAAAAAAAAAAAAAAATTTTAAGAAAAAAAAAGTCAGAAATGCTATGTGGAAGGTAATTAACGGTATTGGCATGTAAGCAGAAGACAGGAGAATGTGTAAGTTATTATGCTAGAGTTTATAAAAAATGTTTTTTGTCCTTGAATGAAATGTTTGGAATCAGCACATTTCAAAGTTTGGAATGTGTTAAATAATATGCCAAGTTGTTAGTCAGAGATAAGAAATTCCACAGAGATTTGATTGGAGCTGCAGGATGCAGTGAAAGAAGAGAATATGAGTTTTTCTGTGTATTAAGGTGCAGAAAGGGAGCAAGCAAAATAGGGCATGTCGGCTTCATGGGCATACAAGTAACGCCAAGCCTCCATAGCAAGCAAGTAACCAACCTCATGCTGACGAGTTGCATTAACAACGAAACAGCTGTCCATGAGTGGTTCACTGGCTTTACTCCTCTTCCTGAGTTGTGTTTCAAAGCTGTTGTATGCAGCAGACACATACTCCAAGGAATCCATGTATAAAGTGGAATTATGAGGCAAAAATGTGGTTCTTTGTTGAGCTCATTTGCATATGCCTACCCAGAATCCCTTGCAGTCATAAATGCACTGTTCAAGATTTGAGATCTCTGTGAAAAAAGAAAGTCTTATGGCTTGACTGGTGTTTATTTGTGTTTAGCACTTACTATAGGTGGAAGGGGTTTTAATCCATACTTTTTCCCCAACACAAATGTTTTTGTTTGCTATCTACTTTAAAAGATTTACATTATGTATAACACATTTAGTATAGTTTATGGCTGATATCCATTTCTTTTCTTCTATTTCAAGGGCACACTCTTCTTGCCATTTCTTTTTTGTAACAATACAGTGAATGGTTCTTGTTGATTGATTGATTATATGATACTATACATAGTCTTTCCCATCTTATTTTCTATTTTCCCTAAAAATACTTCTATCTTTTTACTCTTAACCTTTTTAAACTTTAATACCTCTTTTTCCCAAAAGTTTTTTATTCTTAGATAATTCTATAGCTCATTTGGTTGAAGATTAAAGGTTTTAGATAGTTTGCAAAAGGGTACTACTTCCCTTTTGTTTGTTATCTGATATAAACAGGTTATTCCTTTAGCTACCCATGATTTTAGACTTATATCACCATCAAATTTAGTGGAATATAATATTTTAACTCGTACGTTGATAGATATTTAGATTTTATTTTTTTCCAAATAAAGCTTAGATCTTTTAAAATGGGGTTATCTAGTACAAATTTTACTTCTTCCGACCATATAATGATTCTCACATCCTTTTTGTTAAGTGCATTGTTTTCTAGGTCTAACCATTGTAGTGCAAGATTTATATTGCACCATTTAACTATATAATAGCATAACTGAGTCATAAATGTTATTTATATCTGATAAGCCCAGTCCACCTTCTTTCATAGTTCTAGATAGTAGGAGAGAGAAAATAAAAAATCAACCCAGAGCCAGTGAATTAGCACCAGGAGGTAGAAAACAGAAAAAAAGGTGGATAACCCCTAAACAGTGAACATCAATGGGAATAACCAAAAAAGAAAAAGAATACTGTTCTACCTCCATATTGTATATGAAAAAATGTAACCATAAAATATATATTTTATTTAATAAATATAAAATAAGTAATGAAAACAAGTGTAGCTAAAAACACTAGGAGAGAAGAGACTATCCTGTAATATGGCTCATACAGATAAAACGGGTTACGATGGTAGATATAATGGTGTCAGTATAAATTCATTTGTAGCACTGTTTAAATACACTCTAGATTAAGTAATCAGAACAAAGTAGCAAACGATATATTATTGCCACTTACCGTATTTATCGGCGTATAACACGCACTTTTTCTCCCTGAAAATAGGGGAGAAATTGTGGGTGCGTGTAATACGCCGGCCCTTTAAATACTGCAGCCGCCTGAGCGCTCTGTCAAGAGCGCTCAGGCGGCTGCAGTTGGTTCTCACCTCCCCTGTAGCATGGCCGAGCTGCTCTGCTGTCCGCGGTGGCCGGCCGGAGTGATAGGAAGGTGCACACTGAGCGTGCACCTTCCTGTCAGTCCGACCGGGTACAGGAAACAGAAACTCCTGTTCCGCGCGGAACAGGAGTTTCTGTTTCCTGTACTCCGGCCGGCCACCGCGGACAGCAGAGCGGCTCGGTCACGCTACAGGGGAGGGGGGTAAGAAGGGGGTGAATAGAGGGGGAGGGGGGTAAGAAGAGGGGCAACAGGGGAGGGGCAAGAAGAGGGGGGAGGTAAGAAAGGGCAAGAGGGGAGGGGGGAGCAAGAAAGGGGCAGCAAGAGGGGAGGGAGAGGCAAAGAGGGTGGGTGAGAGGGAGGGGGGCGGGTAGCAGGGAGGGGAGCAAGAAAGGGGGGTAAGAAGAGGGAGGGGGAGTAAGAAGGGGGCAGAGAGGGGGCAAGAAGAGGGGAGGGGGGAGTAAGAAAGTAAAGAAGAGGGGAGGGAGTGTTGGGCAAGTGGTGAGGGGAAGGGCGGGTGAAGAGGGGAGGGGAGCAAGAAAGGGGCAGAAGTTCTTTATTTGAAATTTAAAGGATCATTTAGTAGGCACCCAGACCACTTCAGCTTCTGCGAAGCGGTCTGGGTGCTATTCCTCTAGATTAACCCTTTTTATAAAATACAGCAGCTCTGTAGAAACCGCTGTTTATACCGAGGTTAATCCAGCTTCCAGAGGCTCTAGTGGCTGTCTCATTGACAGCCGCTAGAGGCGCTTGCGTGCTTCTCACTGTGAAAATCACAGTGAGAGCACGCAAGGTCCATAGGAAAGCATTGTAAATGCTTTCCTATGCGACCGGCTGAATGGCGCTGAGCATCTACCGGCGACGTCAGCAAGGAGGAGAGGAGGAGTACAGCTCCCCACCCGGCGCTGGAGAAAGGTAAGTGTTTAACCCTTCCTCTCTCCAGAGCCCGGCGGGAGGGGGTCCCTGAGGGTGGGGGCACCCTCAGGGCACTATAGTGCCAGGAAAACAAGTATGTTTTCCTGGCACTATAGTGGTCCTTTAAGTTTTTTTTCCCTGAAATTTCCTTCTTAAAATGAGGTGCGTGTTATACGCCGGTGCATTTTATACGCCGATAAATACGGTATATAACTGTTCAAGGGGGAGAGCAATATAGGACAGGAGAGCAAGCCAGTAACTAACTACTTAGGATTGCTCTGGCAATGATATTAGGCAAAAAGATAAGCGTAATGTCTGCAAACACGTAGGGCAGAACGCAAGTTGCTAGTAGTAAATACACATAGGCATTATAGTGCTGAGATGTGACGTTCTAAATAGGTCTAGATAGTATTTTAAATGCGACTCTCTGTTTCCTGTAGTTCCATATGAATTTATTTAATATCTTTTGGAACTCAGATATTATGATTTTTGACACCGCTAGTGTAATAGATCTAAAAAGAAATGTGAGTTTAAGAAGTATATATTATTTTATTATTTCTATTCTGCCTATCCATGAGATAGTAAATTTTTTCCATTCATTTAATTTATTTTTAAATGTGTTTAATAAAGCCTTTTTTGCATCCAATGTGTCAGGATTACTAGTTGATCCAGCACGTAGAATTGTGTCACACAGATGACAGATGACTCTCCCATAACGTATTAGCCCAAGCTAAAGCTTTACCTTTAAGTTGGTTCATCAGGTAACCAATTTTAGCTCTGTCAGTGGGAAAAGATCCCGGTGAGGCCTCAAAATGATACTCAATTTGGTTAATAAATCCCTGGCATTCTTGAATATTACCATCAAAATGCAGGGGAGGAGATAGGGAGATAGTAGGTGCCTTATGTACTACAGGAGGTACATTAGGCGGAGGTGTTGGAGAAGCCGCAGGTTGCAGATGCGCTGTTCGAGTAAGGAGCGTACTGAAAGCCTGGGCAAACTGATCCATATGGTGATCATTCTCCACTAGCTTTCTCTCGCAAGCAGCTATGTGCTGACACAATTCTACAGGATCTATGGCCCTGTCGTAATTTCAGGATTACTAGTTGATCCAGCACATAGAATTGTGTCACACAGATGACTAATAGGTAATGTATTACCGGGCCTTAGAATGGCCGGACTTAACGTTCCAAAGAATAGTCAGGATACTTGCCGAGGTCAGGGGATACAGAAAGAGACAACGATAAGAGAAAGCCAGAAGTCGGGGATACAGAATGCAGGGAAGTCAAAATCAAAGCCAAAGTCAAAAACCAGAAGAAACTTGAATCAGGAACGCGCTCTCGGACAACCACAAAGGAAACCACGACCGTGCACTGAGCAGGATGAGAACTGGGCCTAAATACCCTTCCTCTAGATCTGATAGGCTGTAACCGGCCTTTGACCCCAAAGGCATTTACCAGGTTCACATTTGCATAATTGCTGCTCAGCATTAACCCTTGTGTGGATTTGATTGTTGCTCGGCACAACTTTTCTTATGTGGACAGTAAATTCCATTAACCACATTTTTATAAGCGGATGAATACGTGACACAATGATAGGACCAGTAGCGGTCTCTTTTGACTATAGGCCGAGAACATTATATCTAAGATTTTCCTTGTGTTATCATCCGCTTTCCTTTTTGTGATAAATCCCGATTGGTATTTATTTATTAAATTGTGAATAACCTTTTTCAATCTGTTTGCCCATACTGATTAATATATCTTCATATGTACATTTATAGAATAGTAAATGTGTATTTGATGTTTATGTCCCAGCATTTTAATTCTTTGTATTAATATATAATTAATGTTCATGTTTTATAGAAGCATGAAAGCTTATCTGATCCATTATTTCAAATAACTTGATCCTTGTTGGGGAAAAAAGTCTATGTATTGTAACAAACCACCTCTTTTACAGGTAGGATTGTCACCGATCTTGCAGTAACCACAGCCTTCTAGGGTATACAAAGTCCAGGACACCTTCAGCTCAGTTTTCCTTTTTATTCAGTAAGAAAGCAGGTACTTTAAATAATAACAAAAACAAACAAAATCCCTTGCTCTTACTTGAGCTCTTACTAGACAGTAATTGCTATCTGCAATTGGGTGGCTTTCCCACTTACCAATTTTCCAAACAAAAGCAATGTCTTTGCAATAAACACAATCTCTCCTAGCTGTCTTTTTCTCCCTCACTCTGCAGCAGGCTGCTCTCTTCTTTTAAAGGCCTGTCTACTAATTGAGTAGCTACAGGTGAGTGCCAATTAGTTAACTCTTAAAATCAGATCCAAGCTGTGGTCTGTTACACAGCAACTAGTGCTGTTGGAGCATTGGCCCACCCTGCTCTCCAAATACTCCGCCCCAGGGACCCATACCAGGTTTTGCAGAGCATCAGCTATGCATATTGCAAACTTTAACCTCTCTCCCTGGGGCATTTAACTGAAAATCCTCTGGTTGCTGTTTAGCAAATCAGGTCTGATGTATCTCCCATCAACCACTATTCCACCTTTACGCTCACATATCCTCCCCCCCAGCTCATACCCATGGGTTTGAGCGACCATGGAAATCAGGGAGTGTACCCTCGAAAGCCCATCAGCATTACCTTGTTGCAGACCAGCCCTGTGTTCCACAGTGAAATTAAAAGATTGTAAACTCAAAAACCATCTGGTTACTC